TATCCGGTTATCCGGTTATCCGGTTATCCGATTATCCGGTTATCCGGTTATCCGGTTATCCGATTATCCGGTTATCCGGTTATCCGGTTATCCGGTTATCCGGTTATCCGGTTATCCGCTACCCGGGTTTTCTACCATGCCGAAAGTTTATTCACCGCGAAGATTAAATTGACGTACGAGTACGACGACAATATAAAATCATTAAAATCGCCATGTGTAAAAATACTCAGTGGTTCCCACAATATATAAAGGTTATACGAGACTGTCCAGTCTAGAAATGGTGAACGCAGATCTTTTAAAGCATATCAATACTTCAATACAAGATCGATATATCGAAGAGCTTTTAGCCGCTATTCATACCAAGTCTATCCACAACTATATCACCAGAACCAGTCTCGCTAGAGATTTCAATTCGGTGCTCGTCCACCACAATAGAAATGTACAACGATAAGGTTAGGAGATTATATTTATATTTTAGTTCACAGTCTGGTACTAAGTAAGCTTTAAAACCTGCTTAAAGAGTGCTTATTGACGGCGGTAATAAGATATAAAAGCGGTTTGGCTGCTTAAATTAACTGTGTATAACCATAGTTAAAGCTATAAAGTATAAAACGCTTTTGTGTTCGTTTATATTTGTATCGGACAATATTTAAGTGATGTATTAGTAGCGACAGAATCTGGAAATTTTGAGATTGCATAGTCGGGTGTTATGCTGTGTTGTAATACGATATCTAGAAGTAAGCGCATTTTGTGATTGTTCGTGTGAAATCTTGTTGAGAATTTGCCCCCGAGGTAATCCTCAACACAATAGTTTCTTACTCTTTTAGCTTTTATTCGACGCTACGAACTATCCTAATTTCGCAAAATCTCTCACTAAAAAACCTCTCACTATATACAATAGCAACAACCAGTATATTCTGGAACTTTCCGATTCATTATGCACCTATCATTGTTTTCCCCCTGAGGGGGTGCGGGCGACCCAGGGGACTTTGACCACACTATGAAGCCCTAGTGAGGGGAATTTGACCTATGCATCAACTCCCATAGTCGGGAAATTTTGACATCCGCCATCTTGAAAGTTTGCGCGGTTTTGACATTGAAAGGCCTGGTAACAAGTATGGCGGAGAAGCACGATCAAGTTTCATCGAAAAAGGTATTTTATAGCCTTTTATACACAGTGTCTCAATTTTTACCAAGTTTAAACCAGTATAGACTGTATGTTCGCATTGGAAAACATGTGTGTGCCTTGTTATCTTAGGAATATAGTGGGGAATTTTGACAGCCATTCCTTGCCCAACAGTGGGGATTTTGACAACAAAATTTGAAAAATGTCAAAATTCCCGTGGGTTGCCCGCACCCCCCCCTCAGGGGGAAAACATTGATAGGTGCATTACAGTTCTGACTCGCGCGTCCCACGTGTGAACAAAACATATATTGATTATTAATACAATACAAAACAATATATTGATTATTAACAGTTTCCGTTTGTTATATAATATGACGTTTTGTTGACAGGAGGGTCAAAAATGTATTTATTAAAACAACATGCCGATGTGTAAAACAAAATTCCAGACAATCGCGCGACACTACAATATCGTGACAATACAATCGCGTCGGCTGTCGGGCGAACAACGAATAACTTATAATGCTACACACCCCCCCCCACCCCCCAC